TCTGATTTGGGCACAAACGCCACAAAATGCAACATTTCAGCGTAGGTTTTGCAGCTGAGAGCATTGTGCGGATAATGGACAGCGTTTTGTGAGCGGTGCTGTTTGAAACCAGTGTTTTGGAAGGGTTAATAAGAGTCAGAAGTTGTTCACTTTTATGGATATTTTTGACAAGATTAGATAGATACTTTTACCGCCTCTTGTAGCTTTGATTTGAGTTGCCATGCGTGTACCAGCTAGACAGCAGCCATTGCTTGGCTGTGCAACACACACCCACGTTCATCTAGTGGACCCACTGATCGTACGTCTGAAAGTAGACCAACCAGAGGAGTCGTTTAATCACAATCAAAACCGTACCTCCAATGAGGTACGCCCGCTCGACCATATCTAGTGGACCCACTGATCGTACGTCTGAAAATAGACCAACCAGAGGAGTCTTTTAATCACAATCAAAACCGTGCCTCCAATGACGTACGCCCGCTCGACCATACGTGTTTTACTATGTGATCCTATTGGAAGTCGGTTTGGGCTGTAGTCGGTAAGGCGATTTTGAGGTTTATCTGTGCCTCCTTCCTGAAATCGGAGTCACTCTTCACCGAAAATCATAAAGTGCTGTGCGACAGTTTCATCCATGTCAGCAATTCTTGGTAATGATTACCTTAGAAACTTCCGAGGAACTTGGAACCAGAAACCATTTGACAATAAGTTGGTTTAGGTGACGTGAACCGCGCCAAACAAACTGTCCCAAGTGATAATTTATCACACTGTTAATCAACAAATTGTGAACTACAAAGTGCCCAAAAATAAAAAAATGGTTTTCCTTAATTCAAGAAAAACGGTTGTGATAGGTAGGATCCTATTTCTTAATAATGAAGTGAAACCATCAGAATGGTGCTCATATCTCAACAGACCATTCTTGTCTTGACATTCTGTTGTGTACTCTCCAGGGATAACTCACGCCGGTGGCCTCAACGTCATAGACTATTACCTCGTACCATAATACGACACCGTATATTATTGTATGCATACAATAGAATGAGTCGTGCGTTAAAATAAGAGGAAACCACATTTGTAAACTACGCTAGAATGTCGACACCCAGTGGAGACAGAACCAGTTGTTCCTTCGGGAGAATTCGGGGTGGACATTTTCCGTTTTTCTTATGGGAACGAAGCTTTCTTATTTCCTAAGATTAATTCATTGGAAAGAGAATTTAAGAATCCAGCAACGGGCCTTTTCAGTTGACGTAACAATGTGATCGTCGAAAAACGAACGTAACTGCTTTCATCTTGTCAGCATCCTTTCTGGTTGAAGGCTTTTCATGTTTAGAAACTATTCTAGGGAATTTGAATCTTCCACCGAATGACCGCCCTCCCCCCTTTCCCTAATCGCACAGCAGACTTCAGACCTTTCTCATGCTATGCGCAGTGCTATTCGTGAGCTTTGAAGCGCGTTTCCTTTCTCTAATCCATATGTGACGTGAGTAGAATGGGAATTTTAATGAATTCCGTGCCCCATTGTCAGTAGTATGAATTTATACTTTTTTCCGCCAATGCGTTGTTCAGCGCCGAAAGCGTGCTTCATTCTGACCTATAAGAACAGCAATCTTTTACGCACTAGTACGGATTCATTCCCCTGTTGGATGTTACTTCCAAATGTCTTCTCGTTATTTAGAGACAGGTTTCTCATCGCCAACGTTTGAATGACTGCATTGAACTAACGTGAGTTGTGTGTCAAAAGAGGATAGTCATAAGTAAACAAGGCCGACAACGTATACTCCAATGATGATGAGCAAGGTACATGTGAATAAAAGTGCGAGGTTTTCAGACAGAAAACAAAGGGACGCAGTAGTAAGCTCCTTCTAGGGCCATTGAGTAAATCAGCTATTGTACGGGGAGACATACAGACATATATAGGATTGCATCAGTCGCCATCAGCTTGATCTTCTCGAGCAGCGTTCACTGGTCGTCGCAAGGGAGACGGTAACACCAACGCGAGTCGCTTCTGTGCACGCAGAACTTGGGCAGCTCTCTGATAGCTGTGATCTTCGATGTTGCCAGAATACGTACACGAAAGTCAGTTGACCTGTTCAGGAGTTAGGATACATGTTTTGGGTATACCGATCAGTTTCATTGTGTTTGTACAGTAAATCAATCTTGGTCTTCCGTGACTATGGATGATCTTTCTGTGTACGGTGCATATTACCGATGCATTTGAATGAACAAACTATGAAGAATTCGTCAGCGCACCAGAACTGATTTGCGTTACCTGTCTGTATCAGACAGAAGTTCCTGAAATGTAATTCATCAGCTCACGTCAGACTAGCGGCACTGAGTTGTCTTGCAGGCAAATCACCGTTGGAAACAAATCGCTCGAGAGGTTTTCTGGCCAGAGCGTGTTCCGAGTAATCGTCTTTTTGGAGATTATTTCAAACAGGGTGGCTCAGTTGACTAGAACTTTACGAATCTAAGATATAGACGTCTGAAACGTATGTCTTTGTCTTGAGCAAGGAAATCTGTTAAATTTATCTTACTTTTGCCAGTTACTTCAAATTTGGATCGATCAGGCAGGCAGCTGGACTTTTTAAGGGACTGTTTTCTCTCTAAGCTTATTTTCTGCATGAATTTATTAGGTTCGTTAAAGACATCGGTGCCATCCTTGATGTTCACCTAAACAGGAAGGCGGGTCAAACGCTCCTTAGGTCACTTGTTTTCACTTGATGCAATCCGCCCTCTCCCAGCTCGGAACATCATAGTCTATGTTGTTCTGAATAGGTCTACATCCATATCCGTGCACAAGAGCACTTGTTACTCAAATTCCCAGGTTCAAAACGATGATCTTATTAATATGGCGGTACATATTGAGACGTTGCCATGATTTGTCATCGTTCCACTTGCGGTTCCACTTCCTTTTCTTTCTGACAACGAACCGAGCTGAATATCTCCTTCTTCCCATTGTGGTTCCCCCCAATTGAATGTGTGATTGAGACCTCTGAACCTGCCACTTTTCTTACTTTTTCGAACGCTTCCTGGACATAGGTAATCCTCAAATACGATTTGTTTTGTGCCCTGACACTTTACACCTGGCTCCATCAATTTACGTCGTGACTAGTCTCACACGTGAACATCAGATGATGTGTAATCCAAAAACCTGCTCTTAATTTTGTTCATCAAGCCAGATTGAAAATGATACTCAGTCCATCTACGGTTGACCTTGAAGATGGAAGACACTTAGTATAAACGTTTTCTAACGGACAGGTACTCTTGGTTTTGACTAAAACCGTCAAAAATGTGACCCTGAAACCATCACTTCCTGAACAAGAGCACGCCTCGTATATGAATGAAATGAACCGTTCCGTGCCCTGCAACTTTCCACTTGGTCCAAGAAAATCTATCCTGAGTCAGTAATTGTTGGCCGAGGCTTTCTTTCAATGAAGTTTCGCAGCGGCACCCTCGGCCGCTTGTTCTGATACAAGTGACTCGGAAGCCGACATTCACTAGTCCAAAGTGTTGTATTCACTATTGAGGTCAGACTATGTCACCTCGCTGCTTATCACGAGAGGGAGGGAAGGAATTTGTAATCTAAGAGCAGCAGTTCTGAATCTGAGAACGTCGCGCATTTCGAATACTCCTTAGAGGTTGCCACAATTTAGATCAATTTAGTGGCCTTAAAACGTTTCGCGAAATGTTAGGCACTCAGCTAGATGTATTCGGACTTAGGTGCAGAACAGATCGAATCTGGCTTTAGAGTTAACGAGCAGTTGATTTGGCTAATCTTCTGAAATTGAATGCTCTACACAGAACATCAGTGGACAAATACACTAATTTGCAAATGAGTTTGGTTTTCACGAGAGACTCAACTGAATCTTTCGTTTATGATATTCCACAACTGAATGTGCTGCACACAGTCCGTCTCATAATTCAGTTGGCACGATATTCGAGATATCGCAGTATATTTTCATAGAGGAAACTACTCACAAGGTTGCTGAAAACTCTTCGACGGCCCACGACTGGTTTCATTCTTCGATTTAGTCTCTCGTGAAGACCGAACTGATTTGCGAGTGTATTTCTCGAAAACAGTCCAATTTGGGTTCAAGTAGAACATAAGGTTGAGGGAAACTCGGAGACTGCGCCTACCTAATGAGCACCAAGAAGGGCGAAACCGGTCGTGGGCTGTCGAAGGGTTCTCAGCAACCTTGTGAGTAGTTTCCTTCATCAGTGTACAAATGTGTAAGAACGGTGTGGCCTCAGTATTATTTCGCAAGCATTTAGTTAACCGGCTCTCAACAAATGCATGAAAATGAAGGAAAATTTGCAACAATGGAACGCTACTTTTGGCTCTATTGGTTGTTAGTCAGTAGGAGCTGAATGTCGAATGTTTATCTGAACAAAAACAGAGCTCCAAATTTTTGTAGATTTTGAAAGCCCGTGGAGCCCCGACGCACATGAACCGGTTGGTTTGATGTTCTCAGTTTTCTATTCTCAACGGGACCAAACGAATTTCGATTATCTTGGACTGGTAATAAAATGGAGAATGAACCCGATTCCCTCCTATAGAAATCAGAACAATCTCGGAACCTGGGTGTTTATGCCCCAATTTCTGGGTTTTATCATTTCGATCGCTTTGCGAAAAGCCCGAATGAGGCACGCTAATTGTGTCTCTGATTACGCTACTTATAAATCTGTCAGTAACTAAGTGTTTCAAATAATTGTCAAAGGTCCAGGTGAAGCTTCAGCCTTACGGTCCACCCTGCGACTGTGGTGCGCCAGAATGTGTTCGACATCCCCACTGCTGAGTTCTTCGAAATTGCACTTTTTCCATTCAAGCCACCCTTCATCACTTCATAGCGAGAGTTCACCAGAAGTCTGCTCATCTCTGTCATTTTCTTTAGGTAAGATCTTGCCTATGACGGGACATGGGAAGCAAGCAACGTTTTGCTACACTCGCTGACATAACTTATCTTCCCACGTTTACGTCATGGACTACTGTCTCTTCCACATTTTAGGTTCAGCCCAGTTCCAGCCAACTTACTGGGTATGCCCGAAGCCCGGTCACCATCAGACAAAACCTCAACCGCACCATCGTGCTCCACCCCTGACTGCACAGGAGACTGTTCGTCAGTTTCATCTACTTCATCTTCTAGCTCAACCGCAAAGAGACTGCGCATCAAATTTGCCAACCGACTGAACGCGCCAACCGATACTATCGCTGCGCTTGCAGCTGGTGTACGAACTAGTTTCATGACATCCTTCAAGACTTTGTCGGCTGTTGGTGAATCAAAGCTCACTTCATCTAATTTATTTATACATTCATCCACCTCTCCATTGGCTACAAGATCCCCAAGTCCGTCTCCAGATCATAATTCGGCTGCCACTTCGAAGTAGTAAAACATTGTAGAATATTTTGTAGATTAGACATATTTTTGTTTATTTCGACGCTTGCCTAATCTGCCCACCCACCCCTCAGTCGAACAGCCACATCGCGTAATTCATCACCATCCCACAAAAGAATCAGATTTTCGAACATTTTCACATTTACTTCTTTGTTGTTCCTTGATCCTGAGGATCGGACGGGATGGGGTTTGTTGCACAAACTTCCGTCCCAGAACTGCTCTTCACACACCCCTCATTCAAATCTGACGGTCGCACTCACCTCAGTATGGCTTCATCTGGGTGAAAAGGACTGCGATTTCTACTCTTATTTGCCTAGTAAAGTCATCTCGTTCTCATGTTCGACATTTTTTACAAAGTTTTGGTTTCATCACTGGTGAAGTGTACATAACTACCTTGCTGCACGCATAATAAACGAAGATTACTTAGAAACCAGTCGAGTCTATTTGAATCATTGTTTCAGATGGACTTGATAAACAATCGGTAGTTTTTTATTTGAGCGAATTTTCGCTTTTAACACAAAAGTTTCATCAGGTCAAATTAACAGGTCACCAAGGTGGCCAGGTGTTAAGGTAGACGGGGAACCTCTTCAGATTATCACACTAGATCAGGTATTGAGTGTCAATTAACGGCTCATGTCGGTTAGCGTGGTTGTCAAAATCTTGCTTTGGTGGATTGGAAGAGTTCCAAATTAATTCTGATCAGGTTTGGCTCGTTAACCTTTCACCTCAGGATGCTTCAATTGATGGTTCACCTCGGGCGCCACTGGTAGATTTTCCTTGGTCTCTGTGGGGTTGTGAGTGCTCCGATAATTTAGTTTGAGGTGAGCTGGATGAGGTCAAGTAGAATTCAAATGATGGCTACTGTTCCTTCTGATAATCGCACACCAACACTTGTCAGCTCGACTGATCCAAAACCGTTCTTCACACGCTTGCCAGTTCCACGCCTTCTGTTCTGTCAACACTTGGATGCTTGACGATTTCTACCGCTTCGACTGTCAGTCTTCGTGACGTGGACCGTAGTTCTCCCCTCGAAACCTCAACATTTTCTGAATCTTTTTTGTCCCGTGTCTAGTGCGTGTTCCGCGATTCAGTACCGCTCGATATTCATCCGCGTTTCTCGGTTGCCTGTTTATTTCTCTACTTTGCTCTCCGCTTCTGGTGTGAAGTTTCCTAGCCGTCTGTCCTATATCGACCTTAGTGCAGTCAATACACTTAATTTTGTAGACACCGTCCCTGGTTTTGCTTCAATTGCACCAGTGTAGATCGAGAAATGTTTCCCCTCTGGAAAACTACTCTTATGTTAGCCGTGTTTAGAATTCTTCGAATGACCTCCGATGCGCCTGGCTTATATGGAATAACACCGACCCATTCCCGTTTGGGTTTCGCCACCGGTACCAAAACTCTTCGCAATTGACGCCTGATCAAGCTAACTGGATATCCACTACCCAGAGGTTTGTTCTTTACTTCAATTAGAGTCGTTGTCCTATCAGCTTCTTCTGTGTACAAGGCCTCAAATGCCCAAACATTGATTAGGCAATACTGACGAATGCCGACTTCGGATGAGCAGACGAGTAGTTCAAAGCTGCCTCACTGTCGGTTGGCTTCTCGTACACTGTGGTATTTAGTTTTCCCCCGATCTTATGCGTCATGCAGTCTAAAAAAGCCAGTTTACCCATCTCCATACTAAATTTGATCGGTGGACTCAGTTCATTCAGATAATTGTAAAACTTACTTCTTTACGACGCAAGTGCCATCTACACAACGCCAGAATATCTTAGGTGGGTGTGGGAATCCGGCCAAAGTTCTCTGTTCAAATTCTTCCATAAATATATTAGCCAAAACCGCGGATCTTGGAGATCCCACTGTGCGTGAGTGTAAACCACGGAGTCAAAAGCGAAACGTTGCCCAAATAAATAATTACCGACTGTTTATCAAGCCCTTCTGACACGATGACTTCTCAATCGGTTCCGAACCTTTTCCAACTCTTTGAATCATGTTTGAAATCAGAGAAGGAACGAATATTTGCGCATATGCTAGAAGTACGTTACTTGTCCCCTTGCCTTTTGAGCTTTTACAGGGGGATGAACAAATCAATGTGTCAATGGCTATTTTGAACTTATTATCTATTTATTAGCTGAAGGTCATAAGGATCCTCAATCCGTTTGTTTCTTCTGCACATCAAACATATAGACTGGATTCTCGCCGCCTACCGGGAATCGCTGTGGAGATGTCGCTGGCGAGTAAGGAAGCATCGTTTGACAATTACCCCACTTAGATAGCATCCAGAGCACATATCCACCACCCTGTCAACTCATCGGCCTGTTACGTGCGAGAATCGCCCACAGGTCTTGTCTACTTTGAAGATAAGGGCATCACAGGGCATGACAGTGTCTCAATTAACCGCCTAAATCAAAAGCTACATAGCTTAGTGTTTTCAGATCACCAAACAGTCAGCCTGCATCCGAAATATGATGGAGTGGTGACTTCGTCACCTGGATCAAGTCGTCTCGATTACCGCATGACTATACTCAAGCTACAATAACCGCCCTGATCTATCTCTTCATACCCATTTTCGTCGCATTGTTTCGGTCATTATTTGGTTGCTTCAGATCCGCTGTCTTTTTGTGGACGGCAATTTTCTGTTGAGAACTCTGTGCTGGTTTCCGTTAGCTACCTACGTACCTCTTTTTAAGGTCATTGGGTTCATTAGGTATGCAGTTATCGTCGTTGAAACAGTGGACCCAAACTCTGAACGCTGCACTTTCACTTTGCATCCAAGCTGGTGCCATAAAATCATTCCAAGATAAACGAGGGGCACTGCATGTTTGAAAAACTTTTTTTCGTTTTTCGCTCCCGATTTCATATCTTACTGGAGCTATTTAACGGACAACCAAAAGTTTGCGCATTAACCCCACCGAGCACACTGATACGTGCAAATGCTTTGGGCGTTCCGTAATCTGTGTGACTGACTGATGGAGCCACTCAAAGACACCAAAAACTGACCACTGAATATCCCACCCAAACACTGTTGTTTCGCAAACTACTCAGTACTTTTTTATCTTGGCGAATTTGAACTACCTGTCTCAAGCCTGGCGGGGTNGCGGGTTTTAGCGCCCTAAATAAGATGGCTTTGGTGACAAAAAGACAGGTTCATCAGCAGGAAAACAGAGAGCGTCTACCCTAAAAAATGAGGCATCTTCTCGCTATAACGACACGGCAGGCAGAAATGGTAAAATATCGATATGCGATCATGGAGTTGGTAAACTTAGCTGGGAGCTCCGCCAGGCCCTCAGGATAGCTCTTTCTCTCTCTCTCTATCTCAAGCTCCTTGTGACTGCTGAGTGTTATTGTTCACGCTGAGATTTGAAAAAATCGTCCAGCTGTATCACTCTTTTGGTGCCCAGCTGCCATGCCACCCAAAGGAAGCACGAGTGCTGAGATACAGCCAGGTTGCCCAAGTCTAGATAGGGGAAGTCGAACGGCAGAGGTTGAGTTTGAACCACAGACCTTCAGGTCGTACTCTAAACACCGAACCATCTCGCCCCATGAGATGTATAAGTCGAAGCAAATAGGAAAGCTTAAGGCGGATGGTCAAGCTCGATGATTACACTGAAGGAATGAGGCAAGAAGTTCTCTCCTAGCCAATCTGCTACATTTGTGCTAGATGCCAAGCAGCAGGGCAACGTTTGCAAAGAAAGCTTCCAAGAAAATGCCGACCGATTGCTTTGTTCTCTGTGCCTCCCAAGTATTTTTGAAGAGTATTCTTCAAAATATCAACCACACACTACCTGAGTTTCTATATAAGCTTGTGTTATTACTGATGTTAGAATTACACTATGCTAATATTGGTAGCAGACACCTGATTACGTACTGTTACCTGTGCATAAAAAGTCTTGGCATTTGACAGGAAAGAATCAACGGTTTTGTCACTTTTTTGGGTTGGTGCAATGCATTGTACGATCAGCAGAACCTGTTGCAACTTCCTTCTGACAGCGGCGTTGGAGAAACCCATGTGATTGTTTTTCGTAGTCAAAAGCGATTTCCATCGAAAGCTCATGCGAAGAATTTGTTAGGAAATTATACTGATTTAGAGCAACCAAATTTTGATCCTGACGTTTTGCAATCCTCGTGGAGGACCTACCGATTACCAACATTGTAAGACTTGGAGGGGAAAGTGCTAAACATTTGACATGCTTTGGTTACTAATGAAAAGCATAGCCGATTGTGTTTTTGTTATAACTGCCTTAAATGGGAGAACCTGATGAAAAAACAGCAGGTGATCTGATCTGTCCGGTTACATCCTGCTGATAAGTCTCTACCAACGACTTTTCAGGGACCAAATGTGTGCTGCTTAACAATGGTCGGTAACTGCTCCACTAGTAAAAAGTAATTTATAGTATTCACTGTACTGTTTCACTTAGTTCAGGTGTCTTCTATCATTGACCCGCAATGTTCCCGGGAATGGATCGAACTAATCAGCTTAATCTCGAGGAATTCACCTCTTATTGGAGCGACAGAATGGCTTTTCAACAGAGAGCACACAACACTTGGAAGTCATCTTTTCGGAAGGGCTTGATACAGATTGTTTACCAAGTACTTCGGAAACAGACAACACTGTTTGCGTTGGGTCTTGTCTTCAGATGTATCCAATCCGAATTTTTTTATTATCGGAGTGGTTCTGCTGCACAATCATTGTTTGTGTGAAGTTTCCAATTATTTTTAGCTTCGCTACCGACGAAAAAAAACGACTTTGCTTGCTTGAATCCCATGTTCTTCTGCAGCGGAAAGTTCTATCAGTTAGCGAGAATCTGGTCCCTCCACACAGAAAGAGTTTTTAGCGATCTTTTGAGTAGTGTATTACGCCTGTGAAGTGAACTGTGATACCTCGAATATCGTACCAACTAAAGCATGAGTCAGCCTAGCGCAGCACGTCCAGTTGCTTATAAACATCATAATCGAGAGATTCGGTTGGGTTCCAGGTGAGTCCATCAT